CGTTGCTTCACTGGCCCAAGTTGGCACCATCATTGCGCTCTTCCCGGGCGAGGCAGATCAGTCGCCGGCTTCTGGACGGCCGCTCAGAGCGGCTGCTGGCTACACACGGTAGCCCATGGCAACCCACTGCAGCAGGGGCTGCATCCTACACCGTTGCCTGCGACTCACAGCAGCCCAGCTCCAGGTTGAACTGTTTGTTCACCATCTTAGCTGTAGAGGGCAGTGTCACTGGCCCTCATATGTGGGATCTGAACCGGAGCCCTGCTGCTCAGAGCTGGCGTCCCAAGCCAGCTCTTAACAACGCACCACTTGGCCGGCCCTGCCCTCTTTGTTCTTGTGGCTGCTCGCTCAAGGGTCATTCACGAGGCAGGTAGAAATAGAGAAGGAAGATTTATTAAAGTAAGAGAAGTGTTGGCTGGGCAGAGTCTGCTGCAAACTACTGCATCGAGTCCTTGTTTGGTCTCAAGTTTTATATTTTCTAACCAGGATGTAAATTGCTTCGACTTGTAGTGGAATTTTCTGTTGAATTCGGCTTTGTTAGTTGTGGTGGGGGAAGGTGCAGTAGAGCTGGTTATCACAATTTTTGCATATGTTACGTAGATTTAAGTTGGAGCCAGGAGTGGATCCCATACAGGTGCAAAACCTCTCCCAAGCCACAGTGCCAGCACTGGGCCGAAGTAAACAGAAACATTGAAACTGGTCTGCATAGTAAATGTACAGCAAGCAGAATCATTAACATTTGGTAGAAAGGAGGCGAAGAAAGAAAAGAAAGCTTTCAGAGTCCCAAGCTAAATTACACTTGTTAAATCAAATTATACCAGAGATCCAAATCTCAAAATAGAAGATATATAGTGCCACCATTACAATCCCCTGTCTTAAGAGTTATTATTATTTGTGTGTGTGTGTGTGGTAAGAACACTTAACATAAGACCTACTCTCTTAGCAAATTTTAAGTATACAATACAATATTGTTACCCATGGCACTATGCTGTATAATAGATCCCCAGAAGTTATTTATCTTGCATGACTGAAACTTTGGGCTCTTTGACCATCACTCACCTAAACCTCCTCCCCCAACCCCCTGTACATCACCATTCTACTCCCACCGTCTGTAAGTTGGACTGTTTTAGATTCCTCATTTAAGTGGAATCACATATTACTTGTCTTTCAATGTTTGGCTTATTTCATATAGCATAATCCTCCAGGTCCATCCATGTTGTTGAAAATGGTAGGATTTCCTTCTTTTTAAAGGCTGAATAACATCCCACTGTGTCCATGTACTACATCGTTATTCATCAACCATTAGTGAACATTTAGGTGGTTTCCATGTCTGGGCTACTGTGAATAGTGCAGGGTGGCCATTTTTGAGCATCCTCTCGAGGGCAGCTCTCTATCCCTCCTCTCACTTCATCCCAATTGATTTCCATTATAACTCGTAGCACTAACTAAATAAAATCTTTGGACCATTTTCTTGTTCATTTGCCTCTCTCCACAGCCCTCACTAAAATAAAGACTTCATAAAGACAATGGGCTTGCCTGCCTTGTTCATCTGTGTATGCTCAACCCCTACCTGAGTGTCAGGCACCTAGTACACACTCAGTAAATACTTGTGGAATGAAGGAGTGGACCCAGAGGGGGTGATGCCACAGCAGCCCAGTGCAGTGGTTCTCAGGCAAAGCTGCGTTCATCAAAGTCAACTCAAGATGCTTTGTAAATGTACAGATGCTTGCCCCCTGTTCCAACCTCATACCCATCAAATCTGAATCCCCTGGGTAAGTGTAAAATTCTCCACTTTGATGTACTCAGGTGATAGCCAGCGTCGAGAACATTTAACGTAGAGAATTTCAAGTAGTGTCCACAGTGGCGAATGCAGAAGGCAGTCTCAGTGATCTAAAGACTAAACAACATCCCAATTGGACTCTCTAGGGTTGAGCCGGTCAGTTCAAGGTGTGGACGAAGCTGCTCAGAAGGAAATGTGCTAGTTGCCTTCCAGGGTCTACTCCCGTCTTCTGCCAACACTGCCCTGATTGTCCCTTGGGGAATTCATTCTCCCCCATTCTCAACCATGTGGTTCGGGGGCACTGACCCCACCAGAACGGTGATTACTTACTGGTCACGGTGATGTACTTGCCTCCTACAGCATTTGGCTCAGGGCTGGACACAGCCAAGGACGTCCAAGAAGATGCTTCCTCAGACTCCTGAGTTAAGTCTCTTTTGGGAACTCCTGGAAAAGACCCTTTCTCTCCCTCTGGATGTTGTGGTGAGAGTATGTGACCTGGATCTGCGATTGCCATTTTGCTACCACAAAAGCAGAGCACAGGGCCTGCAGATAATCAGGTCCCTCCTATGACAGGTAGGTCCTTGGGAGCAAGCCCTGTCTGAGATAGTTCCCTCTGGTTGCTTCCGTCCCATGAGTAACTCAATTCTTATGGATGAAAAAGAGTCTTGACCTACACAACTGGTATCTTAACCTGTACATCTGGTGAGTTGAGACTGAATTGGGCTTTAGTTTATTGACGTGAAAACTCTTCAATAGAGTTCACTGAATTAGGATGTGTATCTAAGCCACAATCAGAATGTCTGCCACAATCAGTCGGTATTTTCAGAGGGTTAGAACATGAGTCTAAGAGGGTCCAAAGCCTAAAGTGGGCTTGATCCCTCAGTATCTGTTTCAGGACCCCCTGCGGATACCACAATCCATAGATGCTCAAGTCCTTTATATAAAATGGAGTAGATCAATGCATACAGTTGGCTCTCTCACATCAGGAGACTCCCAATTGCAGATCAAATATAGTGCAGGTGTTTATTGAAAAAAATCCATTTAAAAGTGGACCTGTTCAGTTCAAACCCATGTTGCTCAAGGATCAACTGTAGATGTTTTACAACTGTCTCAATATAGAGAAACCTTTTTAGAAATAGACACTCCATGAAACCTTCTGTTCACATGGGCACACACCGATGCTAAGTTTTTCCAGCATTCAATAGGCCACAGTAGTCTTCATAACCACAGTCAGTTCTTGCCAACTTTAGAAAGCAACATGGGAACAAGCAGATACAACAGATCTCAAGGTACTATGGACATGAATGAACACTCCCTTGTGCTTCATATCTGGTCTGTGTATATCTGTTTTGGATTTAACATTGTGTTTGTGTATTTATGCTTTAATTCCTAGTAACTTCTAACATTATGGACTTGATTTGCACTGAGCACAACTGTAAGTAAAAAGGAATAAATTACTTGAAGAGAAAAAAATACTTGCCAGCAGATCCTGACCAACTGTAGCAACAATGGACTGGCTTCCCTATGTCTCACCTGTATAGGTTGGAGTTGTACAGAATTCAGGGGCTCTCCTGGGGATCCTAATCATTGTAAAACAAAGGAAACAGGCTTTAGTGGCCAACCCAAGGTATATGAATATAGGCTTCCCCTAGCCCCTGGCAACCACCATCCTATTTGCTGCCTCTATCAATTTTAATACTCCAAGTAGCTCGTATAAGTGAAACCAGAATTTGTCTTTTGTGACTGACTTATTTCACTTAGCATAATGTCCTCAAGGTTCTTCCATGGTATAGCATGTGTCAGTATTGCCTTCCTTTTTAAGGCTGAATAATATTCCATTGTATTTACATACCATATTTGTTTATCCATTCATCCATCAGTGGATACTTGGGTTGCTTCCACCTTTTATTTTTTTATTTTTTATTGGGGAACAGTGTGTTTTTCCAGGACCCATCAGCTTCAAGTCAAATAGTTGTTTCAATATAGTTGTGGAGGGCACAACTCAGTGGCCCATGTGGGGATCGAACTGGCAGCACTGCTCTCTAACCAACTGAGCTAACTGGCTGCCCCACTTCCACCTTTTGACTATTGCAAATAATGCTGCTATGAACATGGGCATACCTTGAGTCCCTGCTTTCAATTCTTTTGGGTCTATACCCAGAAGTGAGATTGCTGGATCAGATGGTAGTTCTATTTTTAATTTTTTGAGGAATTACCATGTTTTCCATAACAGTTATACAATTTTACATTCCTACAGACAGTGCACAAGGGTTCCAATTTCTCTACATTTTTGTCAACATTTACTGTTTCCTGGTTTTTTTGATAACAGCCATTCTAATGGGTATGAGATGATAACTCATTGTGTGTTTTATGTGCATTACCTTAATGTTGAGCATGATGTTGAGCATCTTCATCTTTTCTTGTGGTTATTGGCAATTTGTATATCTTCTTTGGAGAAATATCTAAGAACTTTGTGCCTTTTTTATTTGGGTTGTTTGTTTGTTTGTTGATGCTAACTTTAAAACCACTCTTCTCCAGTAGTGTTATTTCATTTTAGAGATAAGGAAACATTATTTCAGAGTGGTAAAGTGACCATAATAGTACTGGTCACAAGCACTGATCTTATCTCATCAAAGATAAAGAAAAGCAATTATTTGAATATGGACTTAGCATATACTAAGGGCAGTAGAAATGTGATAGAGGCTGGGGATATCAGGTTTACAGTTCCTATAGGCAGATGGATAAGTACCTAGGCAATATTAATACAATGTGACAAGCACCATAACAGGGGAGCACGTGGTGCTAGTCAGTTATATTTGGGAAACTGAGTAGTTTAGGATAGCTGGAGCACTGAGTATGAGGAATGGCCAGAAGTGAGGCTGGAGAGGGAGATTGTTTAGAGTTCGTAGTTGCAAACAACAGAATCCACTCAAGCTTATTTAAGCAGAAAATAGATTTGTAAAAGAATATTAGGTAGTTCCTATCTCCGAGAGGGCCAGAGAACTGGGTTTGGAGGCCACGGGACCATACACAATGCCCAAACCACCACTACAGGATGTTTAGTAAAGACCCCACTGCCACCACCCTGCTGGTAAGGTCACAGGAGCTCGCTGGCTCCAGTGACACAGACACCCAAACCTCCATCATGGCTGTCCCCACCAAAGCTGGTTTCCTCTGCTGTCATCCTTGTCTTAAAAATGGATTCTCAGGCTGGCCAAGTGGCGTGATGGTTAAGAGCTGTCTTGGGACGCCAGAGGGCCCCGGTTTGGATCCCACATATGAGGGCCAGTGACACTGCCCTCTACAGCTAAGA